CCCCCCTTGACACAGAACTGCTCCTCCATTACAAATGGATCCAACTTTGATGTGTCTTTATCCATGACTTTCTCTCATCAGTTGTTATCAAACATCGCTCAGACATGACTCTCCTTGTGCCCCCGGGCTTTCCTGCCTCCCGCCTGCTGTGTGCCTTTTTTAATTTATGTTTTCCTACTCTGTCTGCTCATAGGGAGCTACAGATGGACTGACTCTCAGCAGCAGGCTGAATACATGTACATGATTTGTTTAAAGTCACCTGCAGATCAGGATGCATTTGAATTAGAAGGGATTTCTAACACATTAAGTCTCTTTCTTGAACTCGGCTTATTTTAGTTGACATCATTAATATATTGGTTGAAAATAACCAGCAGTAAGCCAATACCTCATGTGGTATTTTATTTGAATTTCAGCTCAATAGTCCCTCATAAACTGCTGGAGAAGCATCAGTGCTCAGTCTGTTATCATTAGAAATACATGTTTTTAAGGATACATTTTGTATAAAGCGATCAGATTTTCCCACTCACATGTTGATAAGAATTTGGAAAAAATATCAATTGAAGGTACATTTAGAACGGAAACAAATATGTGCAATTAATTTGCGAGTTATCAGGATTCAATATTTGACTCGATTCACAGCCCTGGTGTTGCGGCATTGTTTCGATATTTCTGCATTATATATTTGATGTGGAAACTATGATTCAACTTCCATTATGAAATCATTAATTCAGCATTTTCAGAAACTGCCACGTTCATTTGATTTGTTGATCTGTTTATTTTAAACTTCCATTTACACATGCTTATTATAAATGCTAAGTGTAAATCTATCTACTTTGACACTTAAGATACTCGTGACAAACAACTGAGTTAGTGCTAAAAAAACATTGATAATTTCACAGTCAGTAAAATGTGATGGGAAGAGTTTAATTATTCCAGAACTCCCAGCATGCATTGTACAGTAAATGTTGGTGTCACTTCCTTGGTTGTCTGGTTGGTTGGTGACCCCCCCCCTCCTTGCTTTGTCCCTGCTCTCCTGTCTGCTCTTGGCTTTCTGTAACTCTGCCACCTGCAGCTTCAGCAGACTGTTTAGCTCCTCCTCCAGTTCCCCCACCATGAAGAAGGTGGAGTGCCAGTCCATCATGAAGTACAACGCCCCGGGCTGCATGGTGAAGAGGAGCAGCACCTTCTCCCAGTTCCCCACGGAAAAGTCCAAGACATTCGACTTCCTCAATGAAGAGTGAGTCAAATAACTGAGTTATGTGTAGATCAGCTTCATTTGGAGTTAATCGAGCTGAACATGCTGAGGGAAATTCAGAAAAAGGTCCAATATGTCAAGCTTATATTAATACAAACCTCAAAAAGGTATAGAAAATCAATGATTATATTCCAATTAGTTGAGATTTCTAAGGCAGTGCAAGCAATATAGGTTTGATGTCCTTCATAACTCATTCCACATATATTTCTAACAATATTATTTTCACGTAAAAGCCTGCAATATGCACATGTATCTACAGCATCTAGTGCAGTGGTGTCAAACTCAAGGCCTGGGGGCCAAATCCGGCCCGCGACTTCATTTTATGTGGCCCCACAAGAGCTTGCAAAGAATATAATATGTTTATTATACTGTAACATGCTACTTTACAGAAGAACGTTGCCCATAAACGACATGTTCCACAATGCATCTCAAATTTGACTTTTTCTCAGAATTTGACTTTTTTTGTCAAAATATGCCTTTTTTCTTAGAATTAGTCTTTTTCTCATAAATAGATTTTTTTTTCAAAATGTCGCTTTTTTTTTAATTAATTTTTTTTAGAATGTGGCTTTTCTTTTCAAATCATATTGTGACATTCTCACTGAAGAGACTTGCAATTATTTGCCCTAGACTTCTGCTTTCAGACGTAGTTAATTCTGAAGTTATTACCCTATCCCATAATAATCCAATGCAGAGGCAATAATGTAATATAATACGTTATTTCATATATATTCAATATTTATATATGTCTTTTTTTATAGTCTTAAAGTTAGAACCGGCCCTTTGAGTGCAACCATAATGCTGGCCCGTTTTGAAATTGAGTTTGACACCCCTGATCTAGTAGCTAGATACATGACCGCTAATGACATTTCTCTATCTTTGCTCTTCTTGTAGAAAGGACCTGTGCAGCTCTCCATCCCGTAAAGAGCAGAAGAGAGCTCAGTACCGACAGGTCAAGGCCCACATGCAGAAGGAGGATGGACGAGTCACCGCACACGGCTGGAGCCTGCCCAGCAAATTCAAGGTAGGACATGACAGTTCGAACATGACTCACACAGGAGGATCTATGGCCTTTCTTCCTCATTGTATAATCATTGTTAATCTAGACCGTGATTTGGTTTGGTTCAGTTTTTACACTTTCTTTAAAAAATAAAAAATAATTGAAGTTGTCCACCAGATGGTGCTCCACCATCTAAGATTAGACATACAGTATGTGTAGGAATATTTGTTGTGTCCATTAAATGTACACTCTTGAATGTATGTGTCGTTTCTGTTTTCTGTCCCTATATGGGCTCTATGTTCATGCCAGTAAATGACGTCTGCCACACTGGGCTAACCTCAGGCGAAATAAAAAGTGTCCCTCCCCCATCCCCTTGAAATCAGGAAGTGACTTATAAATTCTGATACCAAGACGTTTTAGATATGACTGATAACGATTAAATAGACGATATGT